CATTTCAATGCAGTGGGTTTTTTTAGTGTGGTTAAGTAGAAAATAAAATTTTGATGGATTTGTGAAGAAACGCTTTGCGGTTTTGCATGAAACATATTTCGCAGCAAGCAAATAATCAAATGTTGATAACATCATTTCTGACTTGTGTACTAATCATAAAACACAGTGTCGACTCTAACTCGCTAGTTTTCATAATACTTCTCCGTGTGAACATGAAAAAGAAACGTGTACGAACTGCAGATTGACATCTATGTTGCCGAGTGATTATTTTATCGAATTGCTACAAAGATTTCAGGTGACGGGAAAGTTTCGTTCGGGATACAACCCGTTCACAATTGGTTGTTGGGGGAATGTTCGACGGGCGCTTTGTTCTAGTCAATTTCCTGCGTTAGTTCGACCAGCTTGTTGCATTACGTTTTGAATACGAATTCACGTATTATTGTTCGAGTGGAGCACGAATATCTCTTGCGAACTTTTATTGTGTCCAGTGAATGTGGTGGATNCGAATTCACGTATTACTGTTCGAGTGGAGCACGAATATCTCTTGCGAACTTTTATTGTGTCCAGTGAATGTGGTGGGTGTGAGTGACGGGGAAGGGAAAAAGAGCGAATGATTTCAACTTACGAATTTCAGCGTGTTTCTATTGATTTAACCTTGCAGATTCGAAGCTGTGATTGCTAAGCAAAAGTCTTCAGATACAAAGAAAAAAACGCATAACGATGTTCCAACAGTTATCTACGTACCTGATTCTAAATCGGCCACCAAAAGTGGTGGACACATTAGGGTGAGTTCGGCTAATGTGACAATCTTCAGGAAACGTGATCTATAATCTTCCGTAAAATTAATCGTTACTTTTCCAACGATCAATTACATCTGAATAATAAAGATCTCTTGTGAGAATAAATGAAAACCATTCCGTCATTCTATTCAAAGAACATTGTCTTCGTTGATTGAAAAGATTGACTTTCAGTTGAAAGGCTGCAGTTCGAATGTTTTGAGCAGTTTCATGATTTCAGATGAAACAATTAGCAGAAGATAATCAATCAGTGGGAACAACACTGTCAATAAATCAACGGGATGCAGTATTGGATGGATCTAAATGCAACTTATATGAAGATAATGAAAGTAAAAGTATGAGTCGACAAAGTGCACTGTATCAGGTTCGTTAAATTTTACCCATGTTATTAGTTAAATCTTGTTTATCTAAAATCTATTGGTGTGATTCATCTCGCTGTAGTCATCAGTTCTGCTTGTTGTGGAAACATGAATCTGTTTGTGATGTGGATGTTCGCTTGATTCGTTACAAAAATTCGAGTTATGGTAATGGGAAATAAATTCGGACTTGATCATTTTCTATCCTAATAAATTCATTATCAATGCTGTTTTACGAATGGATCTTCATTCGACTTATAGTTAATCTGAACGTTTGTTGAAAATTTTACCGATTCTATTTTTTCATGTTGCAGTCAAATTAAGTGTTCGTTTGTGTTTAATCGATTAACTGAAATTTCAGGCAGCCGTTGAAGAATCCATGCGATCAGCGCATTCTTTTTTGGTACATGAGAATAATCTGAGTGATAGCAGTATACGAAATGGTAATATCGATGATTCGTCACTGTCATCTCCAACGAAAGATGTGATTCGTGCAGAGGGGGNGCACATCTACGTCCAAACGAGCAACACTTCTCTTCGCAGTCATCCGGTGCTGTTTCAGCATTAGTCGAGAATGGAACCGGACGTAATGCCCCGGCTGCCGGTACAACTTCGTTTGATCGAACGAAACCTTTGAAATTTACTGATGCGGTTAGGATACACGAATCGTTGAGTGCACACAACGTTAGTGTATGACATCACTGCAAAACATCATACATTTTGGACACCTACCTCTTTTATCTTCATTTCCGTTATCATTCTGGCAAATAATTTAGTCCACTTATTGCTAAATTTGACACTTTTATTCTAATAGGGAATGGTATTATCCACTTGATCAGGTGGCATTTCTCTGAAGTATCTGTTGCTTGGACATCATCAATTTATAATCTGAGGGATTCACCTTCTGAAAAAAAGTAACAAAAAATTATGCTGATAAGCAAAATGTTGAAGTTTCTACTTAAGTGATTATTTTACTTACAAGGTAATTTTTTTATATCGAGATTGTTCTGAAACGGGTGTTCAGTGAATGAATGTTTTGTTGTTTGTTAATGTGTTATATTTGTAATTATGAATTATGCTATAATGAAATTTATTGTGTGCATATGTTGTTTGCAGTCTGTGAACGTTTTTAAATTTATATTTGAAGTTGTTTATCATTGTGTTTGACTCAGTTTAATTTGATAAGTTCTAAGTTTTTCCGTCATTATTATTGATATCTACATGAGTATCGTTATGTTGTATATTTATTTTGTCTCTCCTGTGTCTGCCTGCCTTATGCTGTTAACTGGTCTTCGAGTGTCACGTTTGCTGTTGTCGAAGTAATATGGTCGTCGCCGAAACCCTTGTATCGTTAATTCGACACCTCTCTTTGTGAATGAATGCGGCTGCTATTTTGTTTTTCAACTACTTTCCTAATCTGTTCATTCGTTATCATCTCATTCTTCGATCTATTCTCTTCATTTCATTTGTTTCATTTCTCATCGTTTTATTGTCATTCGGTTTTACCGCCCATAAGATTTTTCGTAAAAACATTTNTAATAATAATAATTTCAGTATGAATAGTAATTATTTCTCTGCTTGCATTGTATTTTCGAGTGAATAATTTATTGTTGTTTTGTTGCTTTTATTTATTAACAATTATTGTTTTAGCATTGATTACTGTTTAATATATTCGTTGTTGTGTTTCGTTTTTGCTTGTCACTCAGATCATATTTTATCATTCGTCAGCTTTAAGATTGCTTTCTTCATCTCGTTATTGATCCAAAAAAAAATTTCTTCGAAGGATACTAATCGCAAGAATCATTCAGTACTTGTGTGAGATAGCCAGTCGATCGAACGTTTCGAGCGTTGATCATTCGTTTCACTTAATTGTTCTCTAACTGACTTCACTATCGTTTGATAAAAATGATGCATTCAAATGATTTTATTCTTTCATAAATATTATCCAGAATTCACGTCGCTTGAAATTGACTTGTTGAGGGTTGGTATGGATATATTTGCGTGAAGGAAGCAAACCCTCAGATTTTTCACTACGCAAGCTCGCATTGAGTTTCATTCATTCCACAAACGTTCATTCCTCATCAGAAAGGAGCATTTGATGAAGGGTTTAGCTAAGCAATGTGTTCATTCGGCATTGTTTCCGATGAGCATCATCTCTTGCAATGAGCTCAGTTGCAGTTTCAATTATAAGTGGCAATAAGACTGCAATGTGTTCGTCTGTAGATTTTTGATTAGGTGAACGGGTGGACTGCAATAAATTATCCGTTAACAACTTATTGCAAGTGTTATGCTCTATGGTGAGCAAAGTTTAGTCGTCATTTGTGGTGGTGGTGACGTTATTTTCTGAGTATTTTGAGTGTGGTACTTGCAGTCGACCTTTTGGGTGGGTATTGCGATCGATATGCTTGCGTGCCGAGTGGTTTTATCTCTGTCTTAGTGCACAAAATTCATTCAAGTTGTTCTTCGATAATGTTAACACATGTTTCGGGTTTCTCCTCTCGTCTTATGATAAACACCAAGTGATTCATATCTTATTGAAATAATGAACTGCGCCCATCAAATAATGCAATTTTTATGGTTTCGATTGCGATTTATTATTTATTGTTTGCGCTGTGTACTGATTGTGAATATTTTCTGCAGTATTCATTTGAGTTTGCGTTGTTTCGATGAGTTTTCAATTTCCCAGTGATAAGCTGTTCCGTTGCGCCTGAAAGAAAACTCTGATTGTTTAATTTTTTGTTATGTTTGGCAGTGTTTGCGTTTTCTTATGAAGATACATATACTCGTACGTCGGTTTGTAACTATATTTTATCGCTGAATGTTAAACAACCAATTGTTTATGTTTAGTTAAATCATATTCGTATTGTGAATGCGCGTGCAGCATATGTATCACGTTTTATACTGATGAAAGTTGTTTTACTCGTGCATTTCGACGTTCATAAACTTAAGTTCGCGTTTTCAATTTGGTTTTATTTTGCTACTGCAACGAGCACGCATAAAAATTTATTGACTCGAGCACGATCGTAAATTCATTGAGTTTATGTCAAGCGAAACATCGCCGAATTTGTTTATAATCGTTGGACCTCTGATTGTCGCAAATAGTTATTGAAATGTGTTTTATTACGTAGCTCCAGAAATCCGTCAGTTGTTGACCATAATGTAGCGCTCCATTTGGGCTTCACGAACAACTGGCTAAAATTTAATGCGACTCGGTGAAAGTCGATTTATACTAGTGAAAGATTTGAAATTTTTGTTTCAAACTTATTTAGTGAATGATGTATTTGTGAGTGATTTGATCTGATTTTGTTATTGCTTCTTGCAGCGTGGTATTATGTTTT